ATCTCTAACATGTTCTGCTGCCCTGCCGCAGCTCTGTCCTGCAGGGCAGCGTGTGGGGCTCTGCCCTCAGTGGGATGGTACAAACATTAAATACCAGAAACTCCCTGTGCTGGATTTACAATAACGTGCCAATATCGTTCACCTACGTTGGACAGTGTGTCCCCAGCCTGAACCAACAGAAAAATGCCAACACCACAGTGAAACATGGAGAGCATGAAGAAGGAGAAAAAGGACAAGACACACCCAATTTCCTCCATCTTGTCCCCTTTGGACCCCTCATCTAGAATCCTAAAATTTTACTTTTGCACCCGTGCCACACTTAATTATTACTCATATCAAACACTCAGAGCTTGTAATTCATCCTGTAAGACTGAAAACTCTTTTCCATGGACAGAGATCACAGCCAGTGTCTCTGGGGGCTCTGTCCAGGGGGGTTCCTGATCCCTGCCAGGGTCCCAGACCTGCCGGGGCAGCCAGAGGGAAACCCTGGATTCCCACACATGGCAATTCTCTCCCTCTTGCTTGGCACTGATGAGAGGGTTCTGCCTCCCCAGGAGAGCGTTCCTTGGGCTTGGAGCCCCACAGCGCCTTGGCACCTCTGCGTGCTCCCGGACTGACTCATCCCTCAAGCACACCTCGTTGCATCACCAGGCCAGGAATAAAAACCCCCACCTCACACATGCACACGTTCCCCAGCACCACCCCCACCTTCGCAGGAGGAGATCCCTCCTTCCCTCCGCACAGGATTGAGCCTCCACCACCAAATTCCTCTGCAGTTTTCCAGTTGCTCAGTTTACACTGCCTGGCTCCTCGCCAGCCAGCATGGTCCATGCTGCTCCCTGCCTGCTTCCCAGCATCCCAGATTCCCACCAGCCAGGCATGCAGCCTGGCCTCCTCAAATCACCTGTTTCAACAAAAATCCAAAAATCTAAAATTCTGCCTCTGATTAGAACAAAACCAAATGGCTTCAAGATTTCCCTGAAGGATGTTTTAAAGCTGGTTTCAGATACGATTCCCCAGTTACCACATGAGAATTTCAGCATTGTTACAGTGGTTGCTATTTTTAGGTCTCTGAAAACAGACAGCAAAATGCTGGTGACATCAGCACTTGACAAGTGTCGACTTGTTTCACTACCAAATGGATGCTGCATGGTCTGGGCAAGGAAATAAAAATCCCAGACCAAAGTATAGCTTGAATGTGTGATAATGTAAAGCTTATTGAATATTGGGGCAGGGCTCCAGACACTGTCTGGAGGTCCAGAGAAAGCCTTGGTAATTCTGTTACTCAAATATCAATGGTGGTTATAAAGCAGCTTGTAACAGTGAGGGAAATATTGACCTCAGTGAAACATCAACACTCGCTGACATGGTTTTTCTTAAATGAAAAAAATTCTCCCTAATTTTTTGCTCAAAATTTGATGGAACTGATACAATTTCTGACAAAAAAAAAATAGCCATTAGGTGGCAAAATATATTAAATTCAGCCAGTGCTATCCAGATTTTGCTCACTGTTTTATCCACCTCCCTCCACCACCACCCAGCAGCTTTGTCTTTGTGGGTAGCACCTTCAAGCCTCCCTTTCTGTTGCAGGATTTCCACACCATTTTAGCACTCCCCTGTTTCACGCCGTGGGTGAACATCCCTCCTGTGCTCCACAGGCACTTCTCACCCCAGCAAGGTGTTCAGGGGCCAGGTGAGTGCAGGCACCACCGTGGCAGGTCACACCTCCTGCATCCTCCATGCCGTGGGTGCGAGCAGAGCTGGGACTGCCCCCCGGGCTGGCTCAGGGCTCTGTTTGGCCTTCTGGGGTTTGTGCCATCTGGCAGCTGCTTGGGGAAGGGGTAGGAAACACCAGTCCTGCATCCCAGCATCACTGCTGCTGCTTATTCATTCCTTTTGTTGGAGACCTGGCAGCCAGCTATTAATGTGAGCCCGGTGGGAATTAATTTTGGAGTAAGCTTTTGTATGGAACGCTTCCCTGAGATGGAGCTGGATTGCACTTCCTTCAACCATTAATTTGCTAATTCCACCAAAACCGAGAGGAATATGCTTTTCTGACACCCAGCTTTCACAATGGATTGCAGGGCTTCGTTTACTTGTGCAAACAAGTTATCTGGAGCCTGCTCTTGTTCTCACAGCAGTCAGAAACTCCTCACAACTGGGGTGTGCCTTCACTGGGACCCTGGGGTCTGGTCCAGGGACTGAGCCTGGTCCTGCTGGTCCCTGGAACACTTGCTGAAGGCAGCGGCCTGCCAGGATGTCATCCTTCCCTGCTCTCTGACATCAGAGCCTGCTGGAAAAAAATGACTGTTGTGCCACAAATAGCATGATTGAGTCACTTTGCTACAGGACCAGCTCAGAGGAGGGGGAAGCGACTGGCGAGAAGGGAGAGGAGCAGGAGATGTGGGATCTTGCTCGGGGGGGAAAAAAGGAAAACAAAGGAAAAGAATCAGGTATTGCCTCCATTGGCCCTCTGCCATCAGGGCGACTCCATTTCATAAATTCCTCCACAAAATACAAGATAAGAACAGGCTGCAGCACAGGGTGGACCTGCACTTCTCTCCCTGTTGGCAGGGCAAGCCTGGCTGCACATTTACAGAGAGGCGGGGAGCTCAGGTGAATATTCAGGGACTGTTTTCTTGCTTGCTTACACCTGCTGTGTATTTTTCAGGAGGATCACCTCTATTTGCACCTGGAAAAAACTGGACCTACTACTCCTGTTTTCAGCAAGATCGTAGGTCCAGGAATCAATATAGAAAGCAGCCCCAAATAAATCCTTTTCCTACCACTGTGAGCAAAGCCAGAGGGCCTTCAAGCATTCAGAGCACCTGGCTTGTACCCCCAGTGCTTTCAGCAAGCCATCCTGACCTGAGGTACAGCTGGGGAGCAGGAGCTGCCATTGCTCAGAGCTTCACTTTTGCAATTGCCATTTTCTCCAGGGGCAAGGGAGCAGCTTCCAGGAAAACCAGCCAAAAGTTAAACCAACAGAGGCAGCTCTTACTGAGGCCCTGGAAATAGTGGGCAAACAGCTGTCATTGCCTTTCTTTTGGCCTGGGTGCAATTTTCCTCTTCTCTCCCATTTGCACAGGTCATTCCAGGGAGCTGGAATGGGAGGGGAAGGGAAGGGACAGTGCATGAGGAGCTGGCACAGTGTCCCAGTCCCAGCAAACCCTCCAAGGGCTTGCACTGCCTGGCAGCCGTGCTGCTAGGTTCACACTGCTCGTTCTTGGAGCTGACTAAATGGCAGCTGATAAAAATACACCAGCACTTGTACTTGTGCTGTGCAGGTGTGTGCAGAGATTGCCCACCAGCCTGGAGGAGGCAGCTCTGTGCTCAGGTGGGCTGATCAGCAGCAGAGAGCAGCCTGAGCTCAGCAGCAGTCTTTGCCCCCTCCTTCCTGAATTTATACTCCTACCTGCCTCCAAGGCAAAACACCTTCTTGCCTGGCCTTCACTCCTGTTTTAATACAATGAGAAGATCCTGGGAGTCAGCTGTGGGACTGCTGCAGTCTCTCTGGTGGGTCAGCAAAGCCAGCTCGGGGCTCTCTGGCACTTTCCTCAAACATCATCAGTGGGAGAGAGATGGATGTACCTGTCCTGGCAAGGGAGGGCACAGCAGGGACAGGGCCACAAAGATGGGTTTGTTGCAGCTTTTGCTGTCTCTGGGCCTGGAGCAGAAGGCATTCATTAATTGAAATGCAAAACCAGCCCAGATATGACCCCAGGGACCCCAGGCTGTCCCTCAGCACCAGCAGTGGCTGCTTCTCCTTTGGCTTCTCTGGGCTCCGCTGCAGGGAGAGCACAGGGCACAACCACCTTTGGCAGGATGATGTTCTGGGCAGCCTCCTGCTTTGCCATGCCTACACCCAGCCCTACCCTCCCCAAAACAGCCCTGCCACTCAGAGAGGTGTAAAATAATCCTACAAGTCACACTTTGCCACAGAACACAACAGAGCACAAGAGCTGATACTGTAAATGGGAAGGGTGGGTGTACCCTCTCTGAAGGGGAAAGGTCTTTCCTCCCCCTTTCCTCTCCCCTTGCCTTCCCCCTTCCCTCCATCTCTGGGACAAAAGCCCAGAGATGCTATCACAAATATTTGTGGAGGCAGGTCAAAAGAGCCAGCTGTAAATTCTGGTAATTGAAAAGGAAAAAAATAAAAGACAAAAAAAAAAAAAAAAAAAAATCCCTCACCAAGCAAACCTAACAGCAATACAAAAAATCCCAAACAAAATGAAATACTGAGAATAAAGCAAACAAATACAGGGTTGGAAAAATAATTTCCTGGATTTCAGCTACAGCATCCTGCAGCTGCAAATTTGCCTTTTTGCCCTCTGCTTCTCCATTCAACTTTATTACCTACCCTGGCCCCTTCACATACCCGGATAACAGAGTAAGACCAACCTCTTCTCACTCCACTTCACACAAGCACAGCAATTTCAAAGGCCTTAGACTTGCCTATGTCAATTTGTTCCAGGCACCACAAAAAATGTCCTCACTGAGGACCATTCTCCTACCAGATAACAATTTCCAAGCCTCAATCCTCAGAATTGCTCTAGTAAACAGATGTTTTCCTCAACCTTACACAAATATATCTTGAACACAAAAATGACTGAAGTGGTTTGACTAAAAGGCTACAGAAATTTAGTCTTCAATATCACAGTAACAAAGTCTCATCTCCATAGCCCAAACTTGAAGAAAATTATAAGCAACTGAAAATGAGTGTTTCAAATGGAAGTGTTATGCAACATGAATGACAGTGACCTGAAACGCCCAGAGCAGACTATTCCCCTCTCCAACATCCATCTATAGCAGCACAGGAAATGTTGGAGGCCTGAAAGAAGCAGCCATTTCCAGCTTGGAGAAAGAACAGCGACACAAAACCCTGTAGCACTTGAGTATCTTTTGGGTCCTTGCCTTACTGGAATATTTTTGGTGATGGGAGAAGTTTAGATGAGGTGTTTTTTTTGACAGCAACCATTAGAGCAAACTCTTGGACTCACCTGAGGCCGTACAGGACGGTCCCGTCGGGATGGAGCCGGATCATGCGGTTCTTCACCGTCACCCCGTGCAGAAAGGACTTCTTGTCGTTCAGGAAGTAGGTGTCAGGCAGCCACAGCTGGTCAGCCACCCGGTTGTCCAGGGTCAGGTTGAGAGGAAGGTCATTGTAGGCCAGGCGTTTGTCCCGCCAGCTCTGCTGGAAGTACATGGTGATGGTGTAATCCTGGCAGAGAAACGGGCACACGTCAGCCTGGGCCACGGCAGCTCCAGCCCTTCCCCACCGCCACTGCCGACACCTCCCCGAATTCCTTGGCACCTGTGTGGGGTCCACACCTCCAGCACTTTTTTTGTTTGTTTGTTGTTGTTTTTTCCTTTTTTTTGTTATTTTGGAGGGGTGTGTGCTGTGATTTACTCTGTGAAAATGGGAGCAAAACGCCATCACGTTTTGTCCCATTTCCCCTGTCCTTGCCACTTGTGTTTCCAATCAAGCAAAACTGCCTCCCACTCCTGCTGTCCCAGCCTGCTGAGAGCTTTTCTCCACCACCAGCAGCAGTTCAGGCTACAGGAGCACCAAAGGTGTCAGCCAACAGCCACCAGCAAAGACTTCCAGGGTTGTTCCCCACTTCCCTCACACAAAGGTCACATAAAGGAAATCCACCCGTGTCCAGGCACTGCTTGTTAGTTGGTAAAAGCCAATTTTGTTCTCAGAGAAGCTGAGGCTGTTCCAAATGCACAGGGAGGGCCTCACCTCGAGGCCAAGGTTTCAAGGTCGAGCCAGGGCAGCCGTGACAAGCTCTGAGCACTTGTCTCGTTAAGGAGCTAAGTTGGGAGTTCATGGTGGTTCTCAGGAAGGGACATATGGGGAGGAAATCTGTTGTCAGTGCAGCATGATCCACTGGTAAAGGGGCAGTTCCCTGAAAAATTCCCCATAAATTTGCACATCAGGGGGAAGTTCTTCATGGAAAGGGCCATTAAACATCGGAATTGCGTGCCTAGGGAGGTGGTGGAGCCCCCATCCCTGGAGGTATCCAAGGAACAACTGGACGTGGCACTCAGAGCCATGGTTTGGCTGACAAAGCAGGGGCCAGTCAGAGGTGGAACTCAATCTTAGAGGTCTTTGCCAGCCTAAATAATTCTGTGATTCCCAAACCATCCCCAGCTAGCACAATGCCATGCAAACCTCCTGCTCCCCTCCTGTCCAGCAGAGAAAAGCTGACACTTAAAACTGCTGCTAACACAAGGATTTTATGGAAGGGAGCGGGAGCTGTTGGTGGCTGTAGCTCTGCAGAAACCAAACCCATTGCTGGGCACGTCCAGAGGCCCTGGATCAGCCTGTTCAGAGGCACAGGATGGTGCCACATAATAGAACAGTTTCTTCTCCTGAGGTAAACAAGCAGTACATGAAGGAGCCTTGTACACACCAATGTCAGGAAACATTCTCAGGAAACATTCTCATGACAGGTCTTAAGCTGGGGGTCAAGATTTTTGGGGCAAACCAGGTAGTGTTGATCAGGAAGTGGGCACAAGTCCTGTTGACAGTGACCTTACAGAAGTCAGAGATTTTTCCCCAAGTCCTTAAATAAAAAGCATTTTTGCAAATGATCTAGAAATGGTGGCATCACAGACATATTGTCTCTTCTCAAGAGTGCCACAGGAATCCCCTTGACCACACGACTTTGCAGGATGAGCCTTTCTGCTCTGCAAATCCCAGCTCTGTGTGAGGAGCTGGTGAGGAGCTTGCTCATGCACCAACATCTGGGCTGAGCACTGAGGCATCCGCCTGCCTGTCTTCTCCCACAGACTTCATTCAAAGCCAGGTTTGATTAACACCTCTGAAAACAAGCTCAAATAATCCCACATCACGGATAATGCCAGCTTTTGGGTATCTAACTATGATTCAGAAATCCAGCCCCACATGCACGTCGGAAAGGTCACGGTGTAAATGTGCGGAGTACACCAGAGACAGAGCTGTATCTGTCACTTGCTGTGCTGCCTTGAGAGGAGCAAAGGCACAGTGACAGCTTTCTGGCCAAGGAACTGTTTTGCTCTGCTTTTTAAAGGACTGTAAACTCCTGCCTCAGAGGCCTCACAGTCCATCTCGCTGAGGCACAAACATTCTCATTCTGGTCAGGACCCTGCAAAGGAAGATGCTGTCCCCAGAATCCCTCCCAGGCTGCTTGGGGCTGCACTGCAGTGAGAGCACAGAGGAGCAGAGCACCCAGATTCCTGAAGCCTCTCACTGCTGTTGGTAACAGTCATCCCCTGCCTGTGGGACACTTGGCTATAGAGGCATCCGTCCCATTCCCCCCTTTGAGAACTCCACCCGCACATCTTGGCAAGCTCCTTCACTGACCTGCATTTTCCTAATCCTTGACAGAGCCCTGCAACACCTCACCCCTAACCAGGCCACCCTGCTGTCACTGCAGGCTCCTGCCAGCCTTCAAGCAGAGCAGGCAAGAGGTGGCACTGATCTCCAGGAGACAAAAAGGGCAAGCTGCTCACAAAGTGAGCAATGCACCTTCTAAAACACATCCTCTGAGTTCCCAGGGCTGATGGGAACAAGCTCAGAGGGGTGCTGACAGAAAAGCCTACGCCCTAGCCATCAGCTAGATGATGTTCTTCAGGTGCAGAGACCTTCCTGGGGAAGAACAGCCAGTCCAGCCCAGGGCTGAGCTCTGCTCTCCAACCCTCCTGGGTTCCCTGGCACAACAGATTTCTCTGGGCAGCACCGTGGAGGTGAGCACTTGATAACCATGGCATGATAACCACGGCTCATGCAGTGCCTCAGGTTTCCCTCAGCCGCCCTCTCTGCTGGTTCCTGTGCTCTACTTCTTGTTCCACTGCTCTCTTCAGATTGCTGAACAGCAGGCAGGATTTTTGGGCAGAAGGAAGAGCAGGTGTCCACCCCACAGTGGTGAGCCCTCCCCAGAGGGACAAGGGCACTGACATGGGAGGGACAGAACCAAGTTATGGGGAAGAGGGATAGGGCAGGCACAGCTGGGGGCTGGAGGCAGCACTGGCAGGGCCCCTCCAGCAAGGGAGAGGGCAGAATCCAGGAGATGAAGCAGCGAGCTTGCCCTCCCCTTCATCCCCCATTTCCTGGCCAGGCAGTTATGGAGTACCCATGTGCCACCCTAACATCACATCCTGGCCAGGCTCCAGAGCTGCTGGGACCTTAATCACAGCCTTCCTTCCAGAGGCACACTCAATAATGGCCAAGGGTGAATTGTTCTGCAGAAGCAGAATGGCCAGATGGAGCCAAGGCATGCAGGGGTTCATGGGTTCAGGAATCACAAGTAATGAGCTCGATTTTCCTCCAAGCCTCGGATGACGATGCCTTTGTTGTGGGGTTTTATCTGTCACTGGGCTAATATGAGGCTTTCCCAAACCTCCCACTAATCCATGACACTCACAAGCCTGCTGATGCCACAGATATTACACGAGCTGGGTTTCCCAGGATCACCAGCTGACAGCAGCTGGCCAGTTTACCAGGTTCAGTGAAGAACCATGAATTCAAACACACCTGGAGGCCACACACCCCTCCAGCTCCTCCTTGCACCTCACCACTGAGGCACTTTGGTGGGATAGCACAGCTGGATCTCCCTGCTGCCTGTGCAAGGGTGAGGGGTTTTCCCTCTGCACACACACCCAGTGAGCAGAGTTCTCCCCTGGTGCTGCGGGAGGAGCAAACGAGAGGTGCAGGAAAATCTGACTTTGCCCTTGGCTCTAAACTGGCAGCCTAGATCCTCTCCCCCCTGTGCCCATGCAGCTCCAGCAGCAACAAAACTGTTTCCAAATGATGGATCCCACTGGCTCTTTGTGCAGGACCATAAAGTGCTCAGGCAGGGCCAGAGTCTGGCCGTGGCCATCACAGCTGGGGCAAGGAGGGGAGGGCTTTGTGGGGAGCTCCCAGCTCACCCTGCCAAGTTAACCAGCACTGGGGTAGAAGGCAGAGCCCACACTGGAAGGGGCACACATGTGCCAGGCCACCCTGTGCAAACTCCTGCTTCATCTGGTGCCTGCTGGGGGAGAAGAGGTGAGGCTGGGAGTAGGGAGATACCACTCCTCACCAGGAACTCCCTGCACTGCACTTTGGAAAGTGTTCAGCATGAACCTGGAATTCATTGTTTAAAAAACAAAGGCTGGGATGGGACACAGGGGGCTTTTGAAGAGTGGATATGACCAGAAATTGCATGCCTCCCCTTGTTCTCCCTTTTTCCATCCCAAGGAAAAGCAAGCTTTGCAAAGACACCTGAAATCTCTGTCCAGCTGCACTTTGCTACCAGAGCTGAACCTGCCATGTCAGGCTCCCCTGCCCTGCCCAGCACCCCACCGTGGGAGCTGAGATGGCAGAATCAGCAGCTCTGGCCAGGGCAAAGCTGTTTCAGCCCTGCTGAGGCTCACTGACCTAAAAAGCACATGCCTCTTTGCTAAAATGGCTGGTGTGTTTCAAAACAAGCCTCTTCTCCCTCTGTGCCAGCCCAGCAGTGACCAGATCCCTTGTTTTGTCCCCCAAGTCTGGCAGCCAGCAGCTTCCAGCTCCAGCACCTCTCCCAGATTCACACAGAACTCACAAAGTCACTGGGTTGGAAGAGACCTTCCAGATCATGGATTCCAACCCAGCCCCAGCGCCTCAACTCAACCCTGGCACCCAGTGCCACATCCAGGCTTTGTTAAACACACCCAGGGATGGGGACTGCACCACCTCCCTGGGCAGGCCATTCCAGAACTTTATCACTCCTTCTGTGAAAAACTGCAACTCCCTGCAGCAGCAGCAGCAGCAGCAGCAGCAGCAGCAGCAGCAGCAGCAGCAGCAGCATCCCTGAGCTGCCCTCCTGTCCCAGCTGTGTGTGGGATGGCTCTGGGCACCACAACTCCCTCCTGCAGCTCGATGGCACCTGAGCCTGATGGAAAGCTGAGGAGCTGCTGAGCCTGGCTGTCCTGAGGGATCCCTGCACAGCCTGGCTCTGCTCAGCAGCTCCGTGCCAGCTGCCAGCCCCCCCACGCCCCTGCTCCCACGTTCTCCAAAGCCTTTCCAAAGGCTTTTTTCTCCCTCCTCCTTCCTGCTCCGTGAGGCACACGAGGCAGAGGTGAGAGCTAGCAGACACTCATGGTGCAGAGGTTCTCCCCTGTGAGCAGAGTTCACCTAGAGGGACACAAAAAATACTGCAAAAGGAAGAGGAGATTACCTGGGGGCCCCACGTGCTGGGATGATGGGGTGTC